AGATATATTAGGAACATTCACTTGGATGTCAAATTATCAATATGAAACCAATCGATTGTCACACAACGAAGTGTCTAGATCTCTTCAAAACACCAGACAGTTCAATACTGCACATTGCAACTGCCCGTATTGCTTAAGTTGCAAAACAACTAAGAAAGAACGTTTATTACATTTTCTAAGCGTCAATAATGTATGGTGTCAAATGTTCGCTACCTGAAAAGAACATAATAATTATGAAAGTATTATATATATAGTTTACAAGTTCTTGTTGACTAAATAGCCCTGGACGCACTATGCAATTTTCTAGTTCAACTTTAATCTTAAATTGACCTTTATAATACATTTTACGGTACTTTTTTAAATTTGGATAATTCCGTTCCATATGAACTACCGTTATGAATTAATTTACCCTAATGCTCCAGCAGTAAGGAAAACTACCCAAATATGACCCACATCCATTGTAAAGGTTAAAGCAATCATTCCCGCCATTGACAAGAAATATATACCAACAGTCGTCGGTCTGAAAAATAAAAAATAAGCATATATGAAATGTACTGTATTCCTAGAAATATTCGCGGATACAATATTTCGCGTTTTTTCACAACGTCGGCATTTTCGCGGAGACAAACTTTCGCGGATTGGTAGTAACCGCGAATTCCGCGAATATTAAGTCGCTACGTCCTTAATTACAGTTTTTGGAGGCTACAGTAAAAACCTATACATGTATTTGATGTCCAAAACATGGAAAAAATAATTACAAAATACGCAGATGTTCAGACAAACGATTGCAATACAACATGTGTTATACATTTTGGGGTATGATACAGCTGTAACACCCCTAAATTCACACCTGCTTTAGCAATCGGAACATCTCGGCTATTATCAATAATATCCGACGACTGGCGGAAAGGGACGAAAAGTTACGATTGCTGCTTCAGGACATGCATGGAAATTTGGTTACTTCTGACCTGCATTGAAAATTGAGGACATAGCTTCCACACGTTTAATTTAAATTGGAAGTTTGAGTATTCTTTTATAATCACAATGAAAAAACCTTCAATATTTACTGACCTATATCTCCATCAAAATGCAGTCATACTTGACCTTCATTTTAATATAAATGGAGTGTGAACTTACTTGAAAGACTTTGTTTTATCTAGCCATAGGCCAGCTACTATAGATCCTACAACACCGGCTAAAACCAGAACCAACCCAATTTGACCAGCACTCTGCTCATGGCCCTGAAAAATACGCACATTTAAAAAAAAATAAAGTACATGAAACGTGAAGAAAAAATAACAAACAATAACATTGAATTTACTTCAGTTGATAAGTAAATATGTAAACGTGATTTTTTTTACAGAAATCATTTCTTAATGAAAACGAATTTTGGCCGGATGTGTAAAATTTGACCACGAGAATGGTAAGCCAGGGGAGGTAAAGTTCTACGGCCACATTTTGGACTATTCGTATACATTTTCTTTATAACTGTTTTAATTGTATCTTTTAAACATTTAAGATAAAAACAGATTTCGATAGCTCTTGTGAAAATAATTTTCCAGAATACAATCTTCTTTATCAAAAATGAATATGCCATATGGCATGTAAATATACGAATATGTTGTCGAAATATGTAAATAAGTTATCTTAAGATGTGAATATGGTATCTAAGTATTTGAAAATATATGAATATGTACTCTGAATATGTGAATATATTTTCTAAATGCGAATGCATTATCTGAATAGGTGACCGAGTTATCTGAATATATAAACATGTAGTTTAAATATATCTGAATACGTAATTCTGTAATTATTTTATTTGAATATGGGAATATCATATCAGAATGAATTCGTGAAAGTTTTATCTGAATATGTGAATATTCTATCTTAATAAACTATGTGAATTTGAATATATTATCTGAATATGTCGATACAATATCCGAATATCTGAATATATCTCAAAGCTTAATATGAGAACTAGATATTTGTCATGCTATTATATATGTGAATATTAAAATCTGAATTCTTATGATGTCTAAGTATGTGAATATGATATCAAGATACGTGTAAATACATGATTGTAAACATGATATTTGAATTGGTGAATATAGTATGTGAATTTGTATCTTCAACATGATATGTGAAGTTGTGAATATGATATCATAGTATGCGATATTAATGTGTTATCTATTCACTATGTACTTACTGGAAAGTAGTACAATATAATTGGGTTTAGCAGCGTCCCAATGCCATAGTAACATCCGGTGTTGATACCTTTAGATATATAATTGTTTATCAATTTATATCAAATTCGATTAATGGCAAGATATAATTTACAAGTCATCATTTTATGTTTTTTTGTTAATTTTGAGAAATGATAGTGAAGTGTATAATATAAATCTTATTTACACGAAAAAAAAAATACAGAAATGACAATCTTTATCCTGATACAGCTTTACAGGCAAGTGACTTTTATAACGTGTCTATTTCACAAGACTCCGCTTCCGGGAGGAAACCGGAACTGGTATGACATATCACCGGCATTTCCCAAAATGGCTCTAAATGTTGAGAAACAAGACACCATAATCACCTTTTCATTCGAAACGAGAGAAAGAAAACACAGCAGAGGAGTTAAATTTGTCAGAAAAGATCTTCATATTTGTTTATACTTTAATTTGATTATTACGGCCAATAATGATATATAAAAAACGTTTTTATACTGAAAAAAAAAGTTTGTTAACAATATAGTGGTATATTTCTCCACTTATTTAAATTTACGAAAGATTTCAATCTGTGTACTAGAAATTCACGAGTTTGAAACTATATTAAGATTTAAATAGAGCTGTATTTCTTGCAAAAAAAACTACATGTATTTTGATAAGACCATTGATAAAATAGTGCTCTAATTAGAACATTGCGATTCTTTTTTGTCACAAAAGTCATCAAAATATTGAAACAAATTATAGAACACTGACTGGACTAGCATATGACGTCATTTAGTGCGTGACATTCTAAATACTGACCAGTTATTTCAAAATAAAGTGTGGGTAAAAGTCTGTACCATTCAATATCATGCAACAAAAGATTCATTTGCTCATTAACATTTAGCTATATAACATCATAACGTTTGAGAGAATCCAGCATATTTTAGTTTATTTCTGTTTGTATCACAGACCGACAAGCGTCTTTATGACCAAGAACAACATAAATATATGTAACGTCGAATGTAACAAAATATCAGATTCGAAAAAATCCGAAGTTTGCCGAATTTAACAATCCTTACTTAACCTTTAATCTCTGTCACCATTATTGATCTAGATCAGTCTATGCATTCGTGTACATACTGTTGGCCGACAAGCTTTTAATTTTCATTGATAACCCAACATTGATAATGATCAGTAAATTCTCAAAATATGAAGCTGGACACGCCCACAAGGTAAAGGGTTTGAATGGCACGTATTTTCCACCATACATAGAAAAATCTAATACGGTTAAAGGCTATATAAACAAAGTAAAACAAATATTTAAAAACCCTTACCATACGTTAGTGTTAATAAAATAAAATTCCGGTTACGGAATAGATTTTTCAACGAGATAAAGTAGTTTTCCTTGTCGGCTCCTTGTTCGGCTAACAGTTGTGCTTTGCTAGGTGGTCGAGGGGGTTTGTCTTTAAAAACTGAAAGTAAAAATATGACGTAAAGTATTTTGGGTGGTTGTCACAAAAATATATATTTAGCTATTAAGGTGGACCTGCGGGTGTATTCATGTCATGCCATTTTGTTTCTCATTTTTTAAATTTCTTTCATGTACATCATTTCAGCGAGGTGTTTAAATTACGGCTACAGTGTGCAGACAAATATGAGGCTTATTTCTGCCTTTTATACTTTTTTCTGTCTAGCCCAATGTGTACATATTACTGAATTATTTCAGAAATAATATTTTCAACATATTTTTCCGGTATTTAAACTTGCCCCCAATGTTTTGTTTTGTAATTGTTTTTGTTGCGGCTGTTGCTTTTGTTGTTATTGTTGTTGTTGTTGTTGTTGTTGTAAGATAAAATAATATATTTATTTATTAATTGGTGGAAAAAATCAATATCATTCAGGCTTATTTTAATGTATTTACTGTTAAAGTGAATGCTCATGCATGGTTTTATTTGTAATTTAATGGGGAGTATGAATGCATACTGATATTAAATGACTAGCTTAACTTACGCGTGAAAGTGTCTCAGGCAAACAATCTAAAATTATGGTGTTCGAGTTGAACAGCTGACATTAAAATGTTATACCCTGAATCCTTACCCATTTTACTTAGTTGGGAATCGCAACGTGTATATATTAATAATGGAATACTAAACAGTAAATATACAAAAAGGGCTTTTGTATTCTTATTTTTGATTCTTAATCCTAAATTATTTTTCAGTGACATGTCTTTTTATTTGATACTTCCGCCTGTATCTAGATGAGTTGTTTTGTTTCACAATTCTTGTTTAGTTTTATGATTGCCTCATCAAGCAAAGATAAAGCGGGGAAAATGTGCAAGGTTTTTACCATATCTGACAAATGCCACAACTATATTTGTCAAAGAAAATGAAACCTAAGAAAAATAATCTTCCCAATAAAAAAATTTATAAAAGTCCCGGGGTTTTACCCGCCCATATATGAACTTAACCCCAAAGGGTTTTCCCGGGGCCGTTTTCTGATGGGAGGTCCCCCGTTTTGGGAAACCGCAAGGGCCCGGAAAAAAGGAAACCGCGCGCCCCCCCCCCGACCATAATGTTACACAAAGAAGAATTATGTGGCCCGCTATAACACGTGTTTATTTAAGATTTACGAAGCCCTGTTTAATAATAACGTGAATTTTACGAGACATGAATGAATCCTTAGAATAAGATGTGAATTCAATACGATGTTATATTTTTGAAACAATTGTTTATTTAAAAATAACTACTTCTTTTTGCTATTATGAGTGAATCAAATAGTTATTCTCTTCCAAATTACCTGATTGCCAAAGACACCTATAGAAGTTGCGGTTGACACTTGGTTTGGACCAAACCAGACAGCTGCAAGACGAGCTGGAATTCCTAGAATGAATATCTGAGCAATGGCACAAAGCGTCTGGGCAAACATAAGAACCGGAAATCTGTCAGTTGATAAACATGCGCATTTAATCCAAGCGCCTAAAGCGTTTAGGAACGCTCCGCAGATCAAATTCAAACGCAGACCTTTCTTGTCAAGCAGCCACGTTGCAGGAAATATCAGGGGAATGTAAACTAACATATAAATCATTGAAAGCCAGTCTATCGCAGATTCTTGTTGGAAAGAGTCTTCCGGGAGACTCTCGTTGTAATATTTCATTATAATATTACCAATGATGTTTAGATGAATCCATTGATACGCATTGCTAAACGAATATGCCACAAACAGTAACAGCATAAACCATCTACGCGTGTATTCTTTTGGCGCCATACTGGGTTCATCCATTGTGGCTTTGCTTGGTGGTATAGAATCTGTAGGCGTGACTGGTGGAAGAAGCTTGTCAGCAGAGGAGCTCTCTGGACGGCTCGTTTTAGAAGATAGTAACCCTCCTGTCAAGGATGAAATTTATAATTATATTAATTACATGGTATGAAACAAACGATTAACTAGATTTTAGCTACTGTTATTAATTATCATTATGGCGGAGACTGCAGAAAATTGAGTGAAGTTTAAGTAATAGAAAGAGCACCGAAACACGAGGCTATCTGATTTGTACGAGGGGGCGTAGCCCCCGAGTATAAATCAGATTGCCGAGTGTTTTGGTGTTCTTTCTCTTTTGTATCATAGTCAAACATGACAGCACGTTCCCTGTTTTCAAAATTAAACCCCAGCAAAAATGAACCAATCAACTGGCATTATCTGGAGTGCGGGTAACTGATACCTGCACTCCAGTTACCGCACTGTGCATGTATATGTATACGATTTAACTCTGACACTTTTTTAACAGAAAGGTCCCCAAACTATGATACAACAATTCTTATGTTCTATACTTGGAATTGAGATGATTGCTATTCCATAATATTGTTATTGTATATGAACCAACCTGAATACCAATCAAAATCAATGGCTGAAATGCCTGATACTAGCAAAGTTCCCAGTAACATAAATGAATGAACAAGCAATACTCAGTAAAAATAACAATCTCAGACGGGGAAATAAGAAAAAGATTCACCATTGCGTATGCATGTACATGAATATTGTTAAGAAAGAAAAATATGTTACCTGTTTACTAAATTCTAAATTTTAATTCCTTAGTGAAACTTTTAAATTCTAAATCTTAATTCCTTAGTGAAACTTTTAATATGAGAAACATAAATAATTTGGAAGCTAGGGAAAGGAGCACCTGTCCTATAGGAACCGCGTATTGTAATAACAGAAATAGACCTGACGACTTAAGAGATAATAATTGGATGATAAAATATGTGAACGATCACAGTCTTAAGTTTGTACATATTTTAGATGTTAATATCATTACAATATATTAGATGATAAGAGGTCATTTTCTTATTGCTTATATGCGTGGCAAAAATACTGCGCATGCGCATAAAGGCGAATGCTCATTTTTGAACAATAGCAATTATAGTGTAATTATTGGAGTTGAAATAACATAAGAATATTTGTAACAAAAATGGCACTTTTGGTTCAATTTTTAAACTTTAGAAAAACAAAATTTGCTTAAATTTCATGTACAATTGAAGAACAATAGGTCGTTATCGACAAAAAATTTATTTATTATTAATTAATTAATTAATTAATTCATTCATTCATTCATTCATTCATTCATTCATTCATTCATTCATTCATTCATTCATTCATTCATTCATTCATTCATTTATTTATTTATTTATTGTAAGTAGTTATGCATTTCTGCCCAATCAGAAATTTTTTTGACTCTCTTGCATGCCAAACGGTAAACTATTTAACCAAACAAAGGAAACAAAATGTATGTGCTATTTAAAAAAAACACAGCCAGGTGAATGACACGCCAAGAGGTGAACTGCATTATCAGTGACTGTACTAAATAAATCAGTGAATGTTCCATGTAAACAGGACAGAGCTCTAGTTAACGTACTTTGAAGCAGCTCCACTAAGGTCCAAATAAAAAGCTTTAAAACATAAAATTTGAATTTCTTTATAGATAACTGCATGGGGCACATAAACACAGAAAGTTATGCAAAAGATAATTAAGAAATATTCTTAGAAATAAATTGAAAATCGATTTTTTTGCGTTATTATAGTGAAAGACGTTGCAACGATTTTCAATTATTGGCCATTTTTCAAAATTAGAATAATTATCCGGAAAAAAGGAGTTGTCGAATAATTCGAAAAAAAAAAACAAACATTTCAAGCCCTGTCATGTAGTTAACTTACATTTGTGTGTTTGTGCAAAATGCAAGAATTGGTTATGTAGTTAGTCCTTACTTAAAACCTTTCCAATTTTCGTTACATTTTAATATCATGTAAACTTTAAAATCTTTTCATGAAGTTCTCATTGTGCTATATGTAAGTAAATGTAACCCTAGAATACGACTTTAGGTTAACATACAATTCTATCTTATATTTCTTACAGATTTCAAAGTTTAAAGGATAATAAATGGAAACCAATCATCTGATCGTAACTAATCGGCCATTTCCATCAAACTTCGGATAAGACCGATATATGGACTATGAATGATTGACATGTGTTCCGAATAATCGGCGTCTTTTGGATATAATATGTGTATATGTGTATTGATTTTAATTCTGAAGGAAAGAATTCATTTCAATAGCATGTTTATTTCTTATTATTGTTTTTTTTTTTTTTTTTTTGTTTGTTGTTGTTGCTGTTGCTGCTGCTGTTGTTGTTGCTGCTGCTGCTGTTGTTGTTGTTGTTTTTGTAATGTTGATGTTGTTTTCTTGTTTCAGTTGGTGGCATTTTACTGTACTTCTTTTTCTTCATAAATGTTTTATTATTTCTATTATGTAACTTAAGTCACTTAACAATTTCATATTTCACGAAATTTTCGAAGGATATCTTTATTTTATTTAGAAAATCTAACTATTTATTCTTTCTTTGTTATACAAAATGTAATGACAATAAATTGCGGAAACGGTGAGACAATAATAGCGACCATTTATCTGCGACTTTAGACAGTTTAGTGTAGATATTTTTATTGCTGTTTTTATTTTCCTTCAGATTTATGATGCAAATTAATTGTACTGGTTTTTGTTGCTTTTTTAGAAAAATAATCTGTCTTTTATTTACTGCTTTAGAATGGGTAAAAATACTGATTCGTAAAATATGCATATATATAGTACAAATTTCTACATTATTTTGTAAAACGTTACGAACGGTTTACTGAAATTATGATTATGGGGATGAAACTAATAAATTTATTAAAACATTTGTATTTCCTGCAGGTACTAAACATGAAAATATTTCTTCAATAAATAAGTAAATCTTTACCAAAAAAATTGTAACTTTGTCAATTTTAATACTGATCTAGTACGTTTATATGCACTTGGTCGAAGTGGGTATAAATCTGTTAGAAACACGTACATGTACAAAAGCATTGTTTGAAACGTGTAGAAATGAATAGTTCATAAGTATGAACGTAACTGTAAAACACACGTTCAGCGCGTTAAGAGACACCCACCCTGCAAGTCCTTACGGCCTAATCAGACTAAACTCTTAACCCGCTGGAACCGGAAGTGATTAACCTTTGCCACAAGGCCAGCCAGCACATCCGTGCAATCAAACCAGGCGATATACTGTTGGTAGCTTATTTTTTGAACTTTGATATTAAATTCTTTTATTCAAATACAAAGCTCAGCAAATTTAGTATGGTATTAAGATGACCTTATCCGTAGGAAAGGTCAATTAATTGTAATCAAACTGGTTAAATCTGGCTTTTACCTGTTCAATGTAGTTAAATGGGGCAATAGATGACTTCTTGTACATACATCGGCCAATAAGCCATATTTTTCGGTCTGTTTGCTATCGCTTTATTCCAACGTGTTATGTTACTATAGAAGGATAAATCTATATAGGATAACATTTTTTAAATAATCAACATTGAGAAAAGCATATTAAGAAACCTTTTTCACAGTGCGCTCGCTTCTTAAATTTCTTACTCGTATATACATGTTTTGTACAATGTATATATCAAGACCGACTTTCCCTTCTTCATATTACTGGTATATACAAGTCATGTTTTGTACAATGTATGACCGACTTTCCCATTAAAAAGGCCTAATTTCTCCCCGTGACTAAACCCTCTCATTGATTTTTTCCACACACAAGATAATTTCTTATTCTAGCCTAAAATTTAACAATTTTCATAATCAGATAAACTATACAAATATAATACTTTAAAATGAAACTGAAAGTGTGCTAACTTTAGTATTCGGGTAGGGTTACAAGATAATTGATATCGTAGAAGGCTTATCAAGTCAAATAAAAGGCAAAATGTCAACATAAGTAAAGTGAATAATCTTAAAAGTCGGCCACTCCATTTACAATTAAGTTTTGAGAGAAGAACAACAAATAACACTGGTCATTATATCCGTACAAAAAATTATCCCCCTCCCGCCTCACATCCCGTGACGCACTCCCACCCCAGACCCCCCTCCCCAACCAAAAAAAAATAAAATAAAATAAATCTCATGATAATTACAAATAAGTTAAATAATATGTAACGAAATGACTAATTTTTTGACGAAAAGACAAATATCAAGTCTTTGATGCCTGTTGATGAAAGAAGTTTTATTTTTCAGGTTGACTAAATTGTACATTATAATTGCATCATGCCATTTAATATTAGACATCGTGTGTTTTCTTTTCGATTATAATAGCAAAAATATAGAACAGCGTGTACAAACAGTGGGTTAACGAAATCACTGTATCATTTATTGCGAGTCTATATATTTCAATATGTATGATTTATTGCGAGCTCAGAAACTTATTACTTACAATCACTGTACGATTTATTGCGAGCTCAGAAACTGATTACTTAAAGTCACTGTACGATTTATTGATAACTAATTTCATCTCTTGCAAGCACAAAAGGTAGATGCGTTTACCCATGGTGAAGGTTTGAGTTCTATGATAGTAAAACATATACAGAAAAAAGAATAAATATAAAAACGCCCATACAATTTACAAACAAACATGAAATATAAACAAAGCAAAAAACCAAACAACAACAATAAAAAAACAACAACACTTACCCATGTTTACGTTAGAAGAAGTATCCTTTTAATAACGTCGTCTGCCAAATGTCGTCTGCAAAAATGTACTTTTTGAAAGGAGCAGGCAGGTCGACATTAATCAAAGTCACTTGTTTAAAAAGCGCTAGCACTTAGTCTCTTAGTCACAATTATACAATAATAATTGTTTGTTACTAATGCATTCCATTACCAACATTCTTAGTATTAACTTCATATTTTTTCTTTCTCTTATTTTGCGTATGTAATAAATCTTCCCTACGCAACCTTTAACCTTGATAGAATGAAAACATAACGCGTTATTATCCTATGCGTTGTACACTGTACATTGACTTTAACAATTACTATAACAGAGCGATCAGTTAGAGAGAAAAAGTAGACAAAAAACAAAATCTTTCTCAAATAAACGTCACATTTTTTTACAACAAACGCACGCGTGCGAAAAAATATCTTAAGCTATATGATTAAATCCTATCCGAAAGTGTTAACATTATTGAGCGGTCTTTTTTATGATATTTTCCCTTCATTTATACATTCCCTGATTCTTTTCGTAATCAATACTGTACCAGTGGTTTATCTATGAATAAAAAGCACGGAAAACAACATTTCGTACACAAAATTTAAGTAGAAAATAACATTCACAAACTGGTAAGATGGGAATAAAAGGAAACACTTCCCGTTAATATGAATTTTATTCTATTTCGTCTGAGGTCCCTGCATGAAGCATCCTGACTGTCTCCGGGAAAACTTGCTTTCCGATCAATACATTTCCCTTTGAGTAACGTTTAATATGTAATACGGAAGCGAATATGGGCCTTAACAATGTTTTACGGTATTAATCATTAAGTACCATTCGACGGATTAACAGTTTGATATTAATGTAACAAAACTACTACCACTTCAATCACCTCTCCGTTACACATTTGGAATAGTTGTATCGGCGTGATGTCACGTAGACATGTTTTGTATTCAAGTATATTCATGATATTGTAAATACTTATTGTCATGTGTCTAAAAAGAAAAAAAAATCACTTCAAGTTGTTGGATCAATCGATGAATATCAATTTAATATTTGAATGTATCAGTCATTTGTAACTCAAAGGGTTACGCCTCGATGTCTCTGGGTGATGTTTACACTATTTATTTATTTAGTAATATTATGTGTTTACAAACAAGATGTTATTCTTCAAATTCTACCTTCCTCGTAGCATGATTTTTTTAAAACATGACGTAAAACGCGTGTGTTGCGTCATACGCAAACAAATATCCATTGATATAATTTTTTGAAAGCATAATAATGAATATGTTCATGTCAAAATACAATTTTGTATAATAGATAAATCTCTATTCGTGTGTACTTAAACCCGCTAAACCTTCATAAAAGTGAACACCCACTAAAATAAAAAAGTAAGCGTTTTAATATTTATCATAACATTATCAAGTAGAATGCGATACATACTTAAAATTTCATTTATATCGAACTTCTTTTGAATATTCAATGACTACATTTCACTTCCTTTCAAATTTTGACAGCGATAATAACTAATACAGAACGGTATATATTTAAATGTCATAGTTTCTATAAATTTATTAATCATTATTTTAATCAAGTTAATTATCAAAAAATAAATCACAATTTTCTGTAAACATATCCCCAGACGTTGCTTCAGAATTTTTTATGCATACACACTGTACATTGTTTCACATTAATAATGATTCGTGTATATTGTATATCCACGGACTTAAATTACTGATTAATGCCCCGGTCACATATTCACGGATAATGCCACGGAAGAGCTACGGTCTAATCGTTCACGGATTACTACGGAAATGTGAAATTTCGTAGTCCGCTACGGTTCCAGTACGGACACACAACGGTATGAGTACGGAGTCCGACGGATTTACCACCAAAAGCCCCCGGAGAGACACGGATTGTTACGGATCGACACGGTTTGATACGGAGCGACACGAATCAGGACGGACGCACTACGGATACACTACGGTCTGCTACGGTATAAGCACGGGTTAGTACGAATAAGTACGGTCTGATACGGAGAAGAACGTATTGATACGGAGAAGAACGAATTGCCACGGATCTATACGGACCTAATACATCCGTATACAACCTCTTGCTTGCTCATTTTCAAAATGCCTTAAAAGAAAGGAACACCTAGAAAACGAATTGCAGAGTTCAATGATTTTGGCGGAGAGGACTCGGCCTAATCGCGTCCGACCCCCGAGACACATCAGGTCCGATTAAAGTGAATTTCTTGAAGGACGCTGGATCCTCAACAAAGTTCGGCCACGAGAGCCTCATACTAAACTTGAAGCGGTCTTCGTAAAAGCCCATCTCTAGTCCACCATCTCGTCTGTCTTCTCTTACCTGATTAGATATGGACTAGTAATCATTAATGAAAAATGTTGATCAACACTGCTTCTCTTTTAATTTTAAGATTTGCTGTTCATCTTACAATTACATTAATTATCGTGATGTTTATGTTTTAAAAATATGTAAAAAGCTTGTTAATTAATCTTATTATCACTCAAGGGCCAGCCTCCGAGGCTTATGAGACACTTCGTTTTATGTACATATTTACTCTTATTTCACGATCCAATGTTTGTAAAATATGTAACATTAAATGTTATTCTATTACTTGAATTGTAGTACGATATTAATATAAATTTACTTCTATGTATGTCATCAAGCAGCTCTACCACTGCCTCCGCATTCTGAGCCATTTCAATATATAGTTGCAGCCAGTAAATGGCAATTATCATTTATTAAATGTTTCCGCAAATATGTCTGTTTTTTAACAAGAAGGTAGTATTTATACCCTTGAAAAAGTACATGATACTTAATTCATCCGTACTAAACAGTGGTGGACCGTACCATTCCGTACCGTTTCGTGCTGCAACGCAATAAACCGTATAAGACCGTGCTAATCCTTGCCTCTCCGTAGTACAACGTATTACGATCGTGGCTTTCCGTGACAATGCCGTATTAATCCGTATTAAAACCGTAGCTTATACGTAGGGTAACCGTACAAATACGTAGTTCTCCGTACAAAACCGTGGAAATCCTTGACAAGTTGGTGGACTACGAATCAGTACGGACTAGTACGGTTTTCGTACGGACCAGTACGTATCAGTACGGATTAATACGGACTAGTACGGATACGCTACGGTTGAGTTTTCCGTAACAAATTTTTGTGCATGTTCAAAAATTGTCAAGGATCGCTACGGATATACAAGGACTACTACGATTGATTACGGTTACAATACGGAGAGCTACTGACCAGTACGGGTAGCTACGGACGATGCCGGAATTAATCCGTGGCTCTTCCGTGGGCGTATTCCGTGAATATGTGACCGGGGTATTATTAAAGTCCTCAATATAGTGCATGATATTGAATCTTGAAATATTCAAATTAGGTATTGTAAACAGTCAAAAGTTATACTACATTATAACATTATATAGAGTACTATTCAGTATATATGATGACCTAGGACAATCATATCATGATACAAAATATGTACACATGTTCACATATCGCATTTACATACCCAACAATAACAATCTTATATACAAAAAAGTGGCAGTAATTAACATTTAGCCTTCTGAACATTTCAACTTGCATTTCCATGCCCAACTTTGGGTATATTAAGATGAAAATATGAAGCTGGTCAGCCAACAAACGGTATTGAGCCTGGTCAGACTGCGTGGATTTACAGGCTGATCTGGCTCTATGCTTGGGTCAAAGATTAATCGCTTCGCTTTCATTTTTAGCAGGGTAAGGGTGATTCATACTCATCTGCCAATCTTACAGATTCCTACTAGGGCCACGACCATGTTTCTATTTTTTTTTTTTTTTTTTTTTTTCAATCGAGCTTTAATAAATAATGTTTTAAGCCCATAGCCAGACCGATGTATGTTCCCGTTATATCAAACTGTCCTCTAATAGATTTACTCGCATATGGTTTTATCAAATTTTATCAAATTAAGCCTAAATCAACTATGGAAAGTCCTATATTCAATGAATAGCTAGCCAAATTAACAGATTTTGTCTCAAAACTTTTGGTTAATGTCATTATTTTCACATAATTTAGAAACAAGTAGAAATGTTATATACGTAATCATGTCAATCGATTATAGACTTTTAAACGTGAGAAAAGGAAACAGTATTCAATAGATTTACTTATTTTCTTCTTATTTTCATGTTTGTAACTTGAAATGTCACCGACTATCGATCGCATTTTTTTTCTGTATGCATGTGCAAATCTTTTCTCTCACTTGTGCATATTTAAAATCTGAATTAAAGTAAATGCTATAAATAACATTGGAAGTTAAGGTCTCAAAATATCTGACTTAAAAGTAAAAGCGATTTGTTTATTTTGGCCTCATTTTGAAATATTAAATGATAGTTCTGGAAAAAAGAAAAGAATTGAGCAAATCATCTTTATCAAATGGTACAAAATCGTAAAAAACATATTTCCAGTCGCTTCATGAATGTCAAAAACCTTCAGTGACTTCAAATGCATTAAACATATCACGGAAAGAGAAAATTATTTCCGACACCGGAAGTTTGAAATTTTCAATTTAATTAACCGTAAATGACCGTTTAAGCGGAAAAGGACAAAAAATCCAATCTCCACAGGAAGTAGAAATATTTACCAACCTTTCCTCATAGAGTGTGACCTTCGCATACAGTTGGCAATTATTTCATGTTTTGCAATAACATTATACGTATCTCAAATGTAAGAAACTTATCTCGAACTATTCGAAAATGAGACAGCATATAGCTGATTGATAGCTTTCTATAATCTGTAGGTTTTTGTTGTTTTTTGTTGTAATTTATTTCATGAACAACAGTTTCGCACTTCCAAACTTTCTTAGTAACAATGTCTGACATGACATGAGAATGGCATAAATAACTTAATTGTGCAGAGATCACATTACAAGTGTATATCCAATACTTCCGGTGAACTGGGATGTAAACCGTTACGAACGAAAAATCACACTTCTTTTCTAAGATTTATTTAGAAATATCAGCCACTCAGAAATATATTATTTAGTCAATAATGAATAAAATATAAAGTTGACTATGTACTCTTACTAGAAGAAATATTAAATCGATATATAATGTGCTCACAGGCATTTTGAAATGATTCAAAATAATGTAAAGAAAGTTTATATTATTTCATTCATCCATTGTTTTTCACTCAAGACAAGCGTATCACAGGCGAACAATAGGATGGTCTCTTCACTGGTCATCATTTTCACGCCATACTCATTATGATCAACAGGAATCCATCCATCCATGAGAGCGTTAGAAAAAAATAGTTCCAGGATCAGCGCGTATTAATTATTAAAAGCTTTTGTCTGCTGTGCGAAGTGAAGAGCCTCAAAGATGATTATATCTTTCTAAGCTGTTGGTAAATCAGCTCGCAGTAAGTCACTGAAAAATGAAAACGAAATATAAAATTTTGAACTGTATTTACTATCCGTTTATTAATAGTCACCGTTTTTGCTGACTCATTAAAATATATTTAAGTGGATATTATGTAATTTTTAAGCGAAAATGATGAACAAGGAGCCTCAGTTTGCAGCCTTATTCCAAAGAAATCGTTTATAGTAGCGGAAAGTAGTACTATGATGAGATAATAACTAGAAATTTCTTGATTTGATGCAGTGTACCAACTATACAAATGGAGCTAATCCTGTAAGGGGAGATTACTGCATGAGATTGAAAGTGAATTCCTGCCCAGTGGTCTCCCTTCGCACCACCAATCATACTTCGTATTTTTGTATATATCACTTACCCGTACTTTCTGACCATAAATTCGATGGTTTCTGCTGTCCTTCGCTTACTTGCGTTAAATGGGTAGTGATAGGTCAAAGCTTCCATAACAGTATCCCGTACTTTCTCGTCTGTCAACAGTTTTCGCGCCACTGGCTGCGTTGATGTGTATAACTGAATGAGGAAAGGTGTACAAGTGTTAACAATTTTCTATTTTCAAATTTTCCACGATGATATCCATTTCATTAAGAGAATTTAAGTGTACAGGGGACAATCGCAATTTCTCGCCCGTTGATAAGGATTATGATTCAACCAACAAAGTCATTACTACACTTCGGTGCCAACTTCTACAAAAATGCACTACTTGTCCTATTTATTTATACGATTTATTGAACACATATTAAAGTAAGTACGATAAGAAGAAAAGGGAAAAATTTGTTCGGACACAGGCTCTCGTCAAGAGATTCAAAAATACTTACGACGCCGTCATCTGCCGAGTAAAGTATGATGACCATTTCGTTCAACTTTGAAGAATGTTTGCCCCATTTACTGGCCTGACCAAGGTAGTAACTGAAATATTGGGCCTCACGATATCTCGTCTGCATACTGTATCCTGTGGTACTGAAAATGAAAGTATGTCGTGAAAAACAACAACAACTTTCGCTTAAATGTCACCTAGGCCTTTTTTCGACTACTTGTCCTTCGTAGAAGCGATTCATAGAAACTTTAATAATGAATCAATCCAATATTTGAAATGAATTACATTGTAAATATGTACTTAATGTTGTTAAAAATGGAAAATAATTTCTACAGTCCATTGGCAACAGTGTTTTATTGTTCAACCTCTGCAGAAAAATGCCGTTTTGGAGACAAAGCTTTTGATGTTGTTCTAGAGAAATTGGCTCTTTTGTAAAGTTGTTGTTCTAAAATATTTTGCTCTACAAAGGGCCACTTTCAAAAAGTTGAATTGTACTAATATATCACTTTATTTGTCGAAATGCCTGTTTTTCTGACAATCCATTCGACCCCACTTTAATTAAATACAGATCGGACTGAAAATGACTAAAGTTCAGTACATCTTATTTCTTTATGAGAAAGGTTAAATTATTAACCGGTACTTGTCTTAAGTTCGTTAGAGTTCATCATTTTTCTGTGTCTTCGAAAAGACAAATAAGCATATTTACAGTATGGCAAGGAGAAGTGAAGATTCAAATAAAGTCATATAAATGCTTTCTTAACGAATATCTAACACGGAAAGCAATGAGTTTATCTTTAATTCATGATTCATTACTGGATACTATAAAATGAAATGCTATGATACAAAAAGTAGAAGGACGTCTGATGCTAAATAATACTGAATGCGTTTAATGTTGTCCATGTCACGTATGGATAGCATTTACGTCTATGATTATATATATACTAATACTTACTTTACAGTAAAGTATCTTTGCATTTTCGGTAAGACGGCTACCATTATCATATACCCCTTGCGACGTGATACCATTGAACCGTAGCCAAGAACCGTTGTCTCGTTGTAAATCGACTTTACTACGTCATCAATAACGTCAGCTGTATCATTACGAAATAAATGAAGAGTTAGCATTTTAGGCCGAAAATCACCATAAATAAATTTCTGAAGTTTTTGTAGATATATGTTATTGTAATTAAAATTTGATTTCGCTCTGAAAGTCTTTTTAGCTCTCTGCAACATAGTGCATGATTACTACGCAACTTCCTGTTTCTTTGTGACTTTCTTTGAATAGGCACAAAGCTTTATTCAAGTAAGCATGTAATATAAGTCTCTGCGAAAAGGGCAAACAAGAAACGTTAATGTTTGCCCCAAATTTCTCATCCAGACATATCGTAAATAAAAAATCAGACACATACATAATGTATTTATAATGAGTTTCGAATTATAATCGGGAGCAAGATGGCCCTGTGCTCAAGCATAACGTGAATCATAATTAAATAATCGGGTGAGGATCACTACCCTTCCCTTATTAATTTGTACAGTATTCATTGCCTTTCTACATGTATATTTCTATTTACATAGAGTATATTTATTCCTTACCAGCGTTTGCCGGAAGTTGTCCACTTGGGTCGCAGACGAATGACGGCCTTGGTCTTCCACATGCTCCAAATCTATCAATGGGGTCTGGAAAATTACTGACTCTGTACATAGTTCGCTGAGCACAAATACTGGCGAGCATGCAGGCGAATATTAATAATACCTGCATTGTGACTGTGTATTCTGCAAAGAACAATAGATATACATGTACATCTTATATGATCATAGATTAATACCAAAAATCGTGGGTATATTTAGTATATTGTTATTTCACAGAATATAGATTTAGTCAATGTTAGTGGTCATGTTCTAGTAATTCTAGATACAAATGCAGTTTAATATGACTTATTAACAAGAGCTGTCCGTAAGACAGCGCGCTCGACTTTTTTATTGCTTGCCAATAAAAAAAGTTTTTGCAGTAAAAGGCAATACAAGAATCTCTGTATTTTTAAAGTGAACAATGGCCATGAGCATTAAGATATTTAGTGAAGAATTATTTTACTGAATTGTGTGATACCCTTGAACACTGCAGCAAAGTTTGAAATGTTTAAGTCAAAAGAGGGCTGGTAAGAAAGAAAAAAAAACTGAGTTGAGCCTTAAATAAATTTAATAGTATTAAACCCACTTTGAGAGAATAAGGTATTTTTACGTCACTCAGAACACCTTGGTAAATGACATAATAACATAATTTTTCAAGAAATCTATGCCAAGGAAGCAGTATATTTTTGTACAATCAGCATAATATATAGATTTGACTTTGTATGTGCATATACTACTGATTTTAATTTCAAGTACAAAAAGAGAAAAATAACTAGTTGTTTGATACCCTTGAATATTACAGCAATGTTTATATGACATAATTTATGGTAAAGTGAACAAGTGGATAGGAATGAATTTTTTTAGATTTTTTAAGTTTTTTAGTGCTTGCCTATAATACAAAACATTGACAGTTAAGGGCCATAATTCAAATAAAATCTTTGACAGAATTACCTTCTCCTGGACATGTTTGGGAATCATGATTGTAAACAAGTATTCCAACTTTCAAATTAATATCTCAAACAGTTCAGTCAAAAAGTGGACTGGTACTAAAAAACTTAACCAAGATTCTAAGTCGATAAAAGGCCTTAATTTTTAAAACAAATCCTTGACAGAGTTACCTTCTCTTGCGTACAGATGGGGGTAATGATGTGAAATAGCATTAAAAGTTTCAAAGCAATATCTCAAAGGGTTAAGGCAATAAGTGGATTTTACCCATATTCAATGTATTTTCTAAGTCAAAAAGGGGCATAATTCTGTCAAAAACCTTGACAGAGTTATGTCCTCTTGTCTGTTGATGAAGGTCGTGATGGTAAACAAGTATGGTCAGTTTCAAAGCAATACCTCCAATGGTTTTGAAATAAAGTGAGGTGGTACAAAAAACTTAACCAAGCTCAATACACTTTCTAAGTCAAAAAAGGGCCATAATTCTGTCAAAAACCTTGACAGAGTTATGTACTCTTGTCTGTAGATGGAGGTTATGATGGTGAACAAGTATGGTAAGTTTCAAAGCCATACTTGTAATACTTCTGAAATAAAGTGGGGTGGTACGAAAAACTTAACCAAGGTGTGACGCCAACGCTAACGCCGACGCCGACGCCGACGCCGGGGCGAGTAGGATAGCTCCCCTTTTCATAGAAAAGTCGAGCTAAAAATGTAAGTGTGATTATTATACCACTTTTTAAACATCAATGCAACTATGTAAGAAATATGGACAGGAAAGGCGTTCCATAACTTTAACGCTCTGGTGTGTTTTTTATAGAATAATGAAAAATGATAAAAATTAACAGTATGTATCGATATCGAGACATTCTTTCTTAAAAATAAACAAACAACAATCTAAGAGTCAAGAAACATATCAGAGACACTGGTCTTATTATTATTAGATAATTCCATGTATCAGGGAAGAACCGTTTACTGATGTTGTAAGGACTCGTGGTTCAACCATTTTGCTACTTTTGTGTTTATATTATGATAATATGTTATAAATGTGTAAAAAAGAGCAATATTAACAATATGTTTAAATCAAGAGACACTATACATCTTATTACTATATGTCTCTGAACATGTGTAAAATATATTTCAATTTATTAAGCGTGACTAACGGTTTTTTTAATAAGATTGTTTAAACAATTTAGCAAACACTATGGTTCTTAGTAACTAATTATAAGAGGAGTCTATAATAGTTAATGAAGGGTTCGTAACCTTCTACTACTTTGGTGGCACTATCCATGTGTTTCGCAAAGGTATAAAAAATCAAAAAGTTTCAAGCCCCTGGGTTCTTTTCCCAAATTAAAAAATTTGGATCATTAGACCCATCGGTACCCTAGTACGACCCCTTTATGCAACAAAAAGATATTATCCTACAAAAAGGGCATATATAAAATTTTTCTACATCTTTGCTTCTACTAATGTTTCATTTAAATAAAAAGTGTGCAAAAACCTTTCAGATATCGGTCATTATTATCATCACAAAATTCACGAAATTCTAGTTAAACATAGAATGAGAACGTTTCGTAATATAACCTAGATTTTTAACAAAACACAAAGAAAGAAATTCCACGTACCTTTAGTTCTCCCAAGAAAAATACGTTGTTTTAGCCAAGAATTCCAGATGTGAAAGAAACTGCGTAGGAATATGCAGAGATCTGTGAGGATAATATAGGTATTATTAGACTCCAGGTAGAGAACGCAGGTGAGTAATAAGCCTACACCCTGCTGATAAGCCTTTGTGTGTGTAATAAAGCTTCTATGTGAACGGTTTATTAATTGGTTACGAGTTAAGCGGCAAGTGTTGTGGAATGTTATTTTTATTTCTATATTTCGAAAAAAAGTTGTTTTATAGAATATAAATAAAGTTTGATGCTTAAAATTTCAAGATATAACTTGTATCGTTTTATTATTTGAAAGGATACAAATATTTTTACAAAAACTTCATCAAAATGATCAAAATCGGTTATTCTGAAATTAATGATAGTAAATCGTTAGAAACGTTTTTTTATCAATACGCCCATCCCATTCTCAATCATACAAAATAGAGCATAACTGATACATTTTACGCTTTATTTTAAGTGAGATATCTAAATTAAATATACTCATATTATGTCCCAGTTAAGACAAATTTTCTCATTTGTTTGAAGAAGAGTCTAAACAAAAGGAAACAAAAGTAATCCATACCTGAAATCGACTTTTACATCCAAAAAGACTTCACTACTATAAAAAATAAATTGCAAGAATTTCTCGACAAGAAGTCATAATGACAAAAAAACGTGTAATCGTGCATGTTTATTTATATATACATGTATATATAAGTAGCTAGTACTCAATGCACGGAGCGCTCCTTGCAATTGAATGTTAAGTAGTAACTTCCAAGTTAAAAGCATTCAAAAATACCTTAAAATGAATATGTATATAAAACATACTGTGTAGATAGGATAAGTTGAATGAAAAATATATCCGGAGTTTTAACTTCAAAGAAATTCCTAGGTGATATTTCTTGGTTCAAAAAAGAGAAATACAAAAAAGAAAAACACATCATTTTCTAGACATGACATCGACTTCCATATTTTTAAAGGCCCATTTATTGTCAATTATGATATTTTACAAAAGGCTTTATATTTTTGATGTCCTGTTTACATTTTCCAAAGTTTTTCTTCTTGGCTGTAATATATTAGCTGTGTCACCTTTTTTTGCCAATTAGTTCATTATAATGGTTTAGTATTTTGTATGGAGGTCAAAATACTCATTTGTTTACATTTTACTACCCGTTTACCAATTGCCTCGCATCTTACATGTTCCAATTCAATTATTACATTATAAAACACATGTTTGCACTTTTATTTCCGATACTTGTACTTAATTTGCCTTTAAGTGAGAACATTTTTTTGAATTGCATTTTTTAATACATGACTATTACACCATAATGACCTATGATATGTATGTGACATGTATTTAATTTCTTTTTTACCCCGAGTACACGTTGGGGGCATGATGGTGAAGAAGTGTGCAAGTTTCGAAGCCAATGTCCATTTTGGTTGGGACAGGAAACGTTACTTTCGCCGGACATGCCGTTGTGTAACTTGTACAGAGCGCTTTTTGAAATAACGGTCGTCAGTTTAGACAATACATTCCGAGGGTAGACCACAAAACTGTTGCCAGTTGTTCTTTAATTATATGAGTTATTACAGTTGAATTTGGGTATCACATTTGCTTGGGTCACGTGGAAATCAACATTGTGGAAGTGATTTTGCAAATTGCATTTACTCTCCAGTTAAAAAAAATAAATATGGACAGACTTGCATTTGTTTGTTATTTATCATGTACCTAGTACATGCATACATTTCATTTTTGTATTCCTCAAAACATAACATGAAAGGAATTTTCAGCAAATAAACACAAACACTAGTAAAAATACTAAACTTTGTTGTGTATTTTCATAACATTTCATTACATGACGGTGTGTATTCTTGTAACTAAATCCAAATGGCATGCTTGAGAAAAAAAACACCATTGCTTTACATATTCATGCATTATAATTTCATAAATAATCATGTTTCTTTACTTATTATTTATATCTATTCTATCTATTACATCGAATTAACACAAGATTTAATTGATAAATTCATACACACATGGCATAATATACATTTGATGAAAACATGCCACAAAATACCTATATACTGTTGCATTTGATACTTCAGAATGCCAATTTGAGCACATTTTAAGTATACAGAATTGCCTAATTTCCATGCATAATAATGCAATAAAACTGCAAATTGCCAAAAATTAAAAAGTTAATTACATAGAAATCTGAAATCAAAACTGCCACAGCTAGATAGTGATCAACAGCTTATTTTTTTTTTGTGGCAGACAATTTTGAATTGTATTAAATTTACTAAATGTCTAAAATACACAATGTCTGTCCACTGCATTTAAATCAAAAACTAAAAAAAATACTATCAACAAAATTCTGCTCTGTAGTGAGCCCAACTTACACACATGAATAAAATAAAGATTAGTTAAGCAAGAAAAAAATATTCATAATTAAAACATAAGAGAAGATTTTTTAGCAGTTACTAATATTTTTGTCCTTTTTTCTGACTGAATTATTTTAACAATAAATCATACTTAATGTTAACATATGCACCAAACAAAGTTAAACACATAAATACATATACATGTTTATCTAAAGAACTGCATCCAAAGGACATGTTGAACTTAGCTCCCATTCACACCTAAAACTAAGCAATAATTCTGGTAAAAGTCATAACAAAAAACTGTCATTACTGTTTAAACTCAAACTAATGAAAGTATGAATCCTTTTATAGTGCATCATAAATTATCAGGAATTATCACAGTGGATAACGAACCAGAAGTTATCTCTTTTTGCAGGCTAACAATCACAGTTGTACCCAGTGGAACTGCAAATTTAAAGTATTTTTGCAGGGGTAACTATAACCATGGAAATCTTGACCTATCTTCCTCAAAGAAAGCAACTTTCGAAAAAACAAAGATAGATAGATCAAGAATTTTAACATAAACAAACAGGAAAAAAAAATTTATTCATGGAAAAGTACAATGTATTATGTATGTATATGTACCAATAAGTATGTATACCATGCCTAATTCTAAATCATGTAACAAAAATGTTCAAGCAGTTTTTCAACTGTGGGGGGGGGGGGGTGTCTTGCAGAAAAAAATATATAATAAATAGGAACGTTGTGGCAACAATTTTGAAGCTCATCGCATAAATCAAAGAATGTTATTGCCAGTAAATATATGTTATCCGGAACTCGGCAAATGGGGTTTTTTCCAATCTAAACCCTCAGTACAAACAAACTTTTACCGTTATAATAGCTTCATGGTGCAAGTCATAATAGAAAAGTTAACATGTTGCGCTTATTTTCGAAGCTGTAACTGTAAAAGTTTGTTTCTATCTCCAGATTAGCTAAGAAAAACACAAAATATTCTTTATTCCATAGTATGTCTAGTGAAAGCACTTTAATTCTTTCCTTCAAAATATGTCCTTTTTATGATTATAATTATGATTATAATTATAACATTTATATTTCTTTTGCATTTTAACAACTAGTATGTTTGAATTACAATAAATACCTTGTTTTTGTTTATAAAAGCTCTCTGACTAAATCATACATACAAATATCCCTTTTGTTTGGTGATGGCCCACAATTCCCACCATATAAATACATTGTATACATTCAAATTATTCATTCAAAACAGAAAAATACATCTTCCTGGTTAACTAAATATTCACAACATATATTGGTGTTTAGTTTACAGTTAAGCAACAGAAAAATCATGAGAAATTATTATACGAGTAATGTATGTTTAAACTAAACCTAATATTCCAAACCCATTTAAAGATAAACATTAAAAACGTGAAAACTTGCAAACAATGTACCAAATGAATTTACCAACAACCAGAAATGAGTATTTTTACAATAACATAATGAATGAAGCATCATTGGTAAAAATTAAACTCTTTCTGATTCATGTAGATCTACTTCCATTTTCTGCATATTTAATACATGTATTTCATTATTGTATTGTAAACTGTTAGAATGCAGGAAATTGCACTTGACAACCCTCAGTGCTTTGTGAAAACAAAGGCTATAAGGGCTTTAAAATACAAAGGGAAATAATTTGGTAAAGATCTGTACTAGAGTTACATATCTTGGTCAGAATTCTGCAATAATGATACCAAAAACATGTGTAAAGCCATGAAAACAGTTTCTCAGAAGTCAGAGTAAAATATAAAGTTACAAGCAAAATCTTATAAACTTACATTATGCCATCACCAAAATGACCATGACTGGGTACAATGAGAGAGATTGCCCAACCTTTTTTTATAATATTGGTTTATACAGAATTTATTTCAGTTTGCTTGTGTAGGAAGCTATCAGCTTATAGACACTCTTGAGTCCGTTCTTGGAAACAACCTGTACTGAGCAAAGAGTGTAAAGTTTCTTGCTCAAGGACACAACGACTTGCCCCTGACAGGGTTTGATCCCATATGGCTAGCAATCATTAGATTACTATACAGACTCGTTAACCAATCAGCGATGTTGCAATTATTTTTTTTTTTTTTATAATATTGTACCTTATAACAGGTTACAACAGTTTTATAATGTAAAAGTATGACATACTGTAATGGATATGTTGAATGCAAACTATAATTCTAAATGGAAAATATACTTTGGTTTTAAGCCACTCTCACACTGTAAAGGTCCTATGACTAAAGTAACAATAAAAGCATTAGTAAATTATTATGACTATACATGTTATATAATAGTTAACTGTTTTCATCACATTTCACAGAAACTTAAGATATTTAAGTTGCAACAGAAATCATATCAATCAACTTTACCATGTTGTAACAATAAATTTCTGACCAATTTGAGTACATGTATTTTCTCTCTCAAAAATATAATCTTTAATCGAAAACAAAACACACTTAGCAGATATAAATAACTGATTAATATGAAATTCTTGAAATGCTCTATTTGTAAAACATATCAAAAATTCGACCAATCAGATGCAGAGTTTAGCTCCTTTTGAATATGAACAGCAATAACATGGGATTTTTGCCACCTGTATAGAGCCAGGTTAGCCTTAACATCCATGCATGAACTTGACCACTCTACACAGTTGGCTGTTCCATTTATTTACCTATTAAATTCAATATCCCTATAATTAATAATGGACTGATCAAAGTTTGAAACAGGGCAAGTTCATTTTTTTAAAAAAATCAGCGTGACCAGACTCTATATGTATTCCATTGGCTGCTCAATTGTTAAATTTTTGCTATCAAAGTCAATATCCCTCAAATTAACAATGAACTCATCCAAATTGTAAACAGGGCAAGTTCATTTTAAAAAATCAGCAGTGTATAAGTTAAAAAATGCATTTTTTTTTATAATTATACCTATATCCTAGCTTCAAATATTCTTAATATGTAAAGGTTATTATGAAATAAGTAAAGCAAATAATTATAATTTAAAGCATATTGATTAACAAGGCTGATTTGTCTATTACAGTTAATTGCTTTGAAATATATAGAAATGCCTAGAAATACAAAAATAAACCATTTGATAACAACAAAGGTATCTTGACTATTTTTGCATAATTTTTCATTGTTTGGTTACCATTAAATGAAATATGCTATGAAACTTCACCCATGAAACAAAAATGAGTAAATTTATGTGAAAATAAGCTGTGAGTCTTAATTCATAGGACCAAAAATGCACATACCACAAATCCTGGTTGATACAACATAAAACATGATGTTCATTTCCTAAATAAAACAACATATAAGATATGATTTCAGCACACTTTCAAATCTTGATATATTCATAAAACAGAATACACTGCATCAAAATTAATTCCCTGTAGATTGTTATCTCTTTGTGAAATATGTTCATAATATATTTCGTGTAAAAAATGTTTCTATTTAAAGGGAGCCTGTTTAACAACTCTTTGTAGCAGCGGCTTTCCGACGCGATTTCTGTCCACACGGAAGAATTGGCTGTTTCCTCTCTTGATATTACCCTGAAATCAAATTAAAGTATAATTGGGTTTTGTATATGATCAATCTTGTGAAATCCATAAGAGTAAAGTACAAGATGTTTTATTTATGATGACCCTTTTAGCATATCCCTCCAAATCATGGCAGTAAGCCACCACATTGTTTCTAGGCATTTTGTCAAGCATTACCAGTACTAGTTGCCTTCACTTTCGCAAGGAACTGATAACTTCTGTACATGCCAGAGCAGAGGTACAATGTGAATGACCGTAGAAAGGATTTCATGATAAATCACAACAAAAGTGACCTGCAACGCCTGGGAATCGAACCCAGGTCACCCGATTCACACAATTTATTCAGCAAAATATTAACTAGTCAATAACAAATTTCAAGATAAATACTTATGTTAAATTCCTGTAGTAGTTTGACAAAACATGCAACAGAATTTACCATTATTTTTTTTTTTTGTGTACCATTTCTAGGGATGGGGTTGGGGGGGGGGGACATGTTTGAAAATATGAACATGGAGGGAGAACAATTAACAGTGTAACAAGTGAAGTGACTGTAGAAAGTAGAAAAACACTTTTTTATGGAAACACAAATGCCCCAGTTCCAAATCTGTATTTAACGAACATTACAGTAACAGATATGAGGCATTTCCTGAATTTTTGAATTTGACCTTGAATATTCTAACTTCTAAAATGGAAATAGGTACAGAAGAAGATGTTTGGATAAAACAAGAGGGCCATGATGGCCCTGAGGTCGCTCACCTGTATATAGGCCTCCCCCCCCCCCCCCCACGGCAGGGCCAATTCTAACCCAAAGGCTTTTATTTGAACAAACTTGGTAGACACCCATAAGATGATGTTTCATGCTTAACATCTAAGCTCTAGCTCATTGGGTTTTTTCAAAGAAGATTTTTTAAGTTTTTACTATACACATATAGTTAAAAACAATGACACCCCTGGGGCGGGGCCAGTTTTGACCCCAGGGCTTTTATTTGAACAAACTTTGTAGACACTTACTAGAAGATGTTTCATGCTTAATATCTAAACTCTAGCTATTTGGGTTTTTTCACATAAGAGTTTTAAGTTTTTGCTATACACATATAAGGAAAATCAATGACCCCCGGGGCGGGGCCAATTTTGACCCCAGGGCTTTTATTTGAACAAACTTTGTAGACACTCACTAGAAGATGTTTGATGCTTCATATCTAAACTCTAGCTATTTGGGTTTTTTCAAAGAAGAGTTTTTAAGTTTTTCGCTATACACATATAAGGAAAATCAATGACCCCCAATTTTGACCCCAGGGCTTTTATTTGAACAAACTTGGTAGACACCCATTAGAAGATGTTTCATGCTAAATATCTTAGCTCTAGCTCTTTGAGTTCTTTAAAAGAAGATTTTTTAAGTTTTTACTATATGCATATAGGGAAAATCTATGACCCCCTGGGGCGGGGCCAATTTTGACCCCAGGGCTTTTATTTGAACAAACTTGGTAGACACTCATTAGAAGATGTTTCATGCTAAATATCTTAGCTCTAGCTCTTAGGGTTTTTTAAAAGAAGATTTTTTTAAGTTTATACTATATGCATATAGGGAAAATCAATGACCCCCTGGGGCGGGGCCAATTTTGACCCCAGGGCTTTTATTTGAACAAACTTGGTAGACACTAACTAGAAGATGTTTCATGCCAAATATCTAAGCTCTAGCTCTTAGGGTTTTTTAAAAGAAGATATTTAAAGTTTTTTATTTCGGTTGCCATGGCAACCAGAGTTCTGCATGGAATTAAATACTTGAACAATTTTTAAAGGTGACCACCAAAGGAACATTCCTGTGAAGCTTGGATGAAATTGGCCTAGTGGTTTATGAGGAGATGTCATTTAAAGTAAAAGTTTACGGACGACGGACAGACGCCGAACGGACGCCGGACGAAAAGCGATCACAAAAGCTCACCCTGTCACTTTGTGACAGGTGAGCTAAAAAGCCAAAACCAATAAAAGACTAATGTTATCACACATGTGTATCTTTTTTTATAATATAAATCTACTTACAGTCTCCTTTAAGTGTTTCCAGCATTCACTCCAGTCTGCATACGGTTTCATATTAGGTGGAGATGCAGCCACCAACCTTCATGAAAATAATACATAAAACATGTTAGATCTATCAGGTAAAATAACACAGTATATCACAGTCAATTAAATACCCTGTATATGAAACTAAACATTCTCAAAAACATAAAGAAATTGACAAGCAAGAAACAGCATTTTTCATATTTGTGATCATCTTGTCAAAATGTAGGAGACTCCAGAAACATTTCCTAGATTTTTTTGCTAACACTGCAATGATGCAATTTTGAACCAGAATTGTAGGCTTGCCTGGCTCTATACTGGTGGAAAAGGCTTCCAGCAGGTTAATGGTTAAAGTTACTAAACTAAGAAAAAGCTTGAAATTTCAGATGACATCTGCATGTACCAACTGCATAAATTTGTTCTTTACAAAATGAGATCCTTATAAACTTGAGTCAAATCTGGACATGATACGGAAATACACAAAAATGTTATGTAATGAATGCTAATGCACTATCATTTCAATAAGTTAAACTTAAAGAAAACTCAAAATCCTTAGGAAAACTACAAAATCTTTTGAAAGCTATAGACTTACTCAGTTCCAGCAACTGCCATAACATTGGACACCAATGTAAAGGGGTATGTAAAATTGGAAACTACAAGCTGAAAGAAAATTGAAGAAGAAAATACAAAATGTAATTAACTTTTTTCTATTTGTAGTGTCAAACCACATTACATTTCTAATCAAACATGGAAACATATGATAATTATTAATTAAAGTTTAAATTACATAACCTGATGTCATTACAGCCAATACAAGTGACCTATCACTCTTTGGCTTTTAGAAAAGCTCTGAATTTAGAGCAGTTTGTTATGTGAAGTTTTTTTTTAACTAAATGTTTAAAATCCGGTTGCCCTCAACTGTCAAGAATCTGATCTGATGGTATGGATTTATACTGATGGCATACAAACAAATTCAGGAAAAAGTTAAAAACCACTTGACAGTCAGGAAAATAAATGATAATTACACTTGGTTTAATGAGTCTGTTTATGAGATATAACATGAGCAAGGCTTCTCTTACAAAATAGCACCAGCTTAAGCAGAACTTATCTTTTCCACTGAAAGTGTTAAATAAATGATCCTGTAAGGACTAGAACAATAAAACACCAATGAATTTTGCACAACATTTAACTCTGCTGTTGTAATTATTATGAGATTTTTGGAAAGTAATTTTTGCCATTATCATTTAAAGAGATAATTTTTACTTACCCCAACAAACAATGGTACATATGACTGGGCCTCCTAAAAAAAGAGAAATAAAAATATCTCTTAAGTATTTTATTCATAAAAAGTAACATCATTTGATAACTGAAAATCAAAATTTACAAGTATTACATTATGTTTCTTCTTTTCATTCAATTTATAGCATGTGCTGATGACTGATTTGTTTCTTTGATTGGGTTTTATGTCACACCAACACAGTATAGGTCATATGGTAACGTTCCAGCATTACTGGTGGAGGAAGACCTCAGGTGCCTCTCTGTGCATTATTTCAGGCGCAAACGGGCACCTGAGTAGAAACACTGACGTTCCGTAAGCTAGCTGGATAGCTTCCTCACATGAAAGAATCAAAAGTCCCTGTCGGGATTCGAACCCACAGCGATCATGATTGAAGGACACTTGTCCAGCTGGGACTGACAGAGGAAGATCCATGTATTATTTCAGGCACACCGAAAGGACTTCTGCTAACTGCATAACTACATTAACATCATGTTTATTTTAAGTGCAATAGATGTTAACCGTAACTCAGCAAATATGCGTTTTTTTTTTTCAAGCTAATCCCTCGGTACAAACTTTTACTGTCATAACTTCACAGTGTACTACCGGTCATAATAGATCAGTCAACCTGTTGCACTTATTTTCGAAACTCTTAACTGTAAAAATTTATATGTACACCCAGATAAGCTGGGAAAAAAACAAAATATTTTTAATTTAGGAGTAAGTCGATAAACTGAGATTAAGGAGTTTATATTATTTACATGTACTTTATTCACACATTAAATGGAAATTTCACAAATTTATTTTATCACAGTCAGTTTACATAATACTAAATTAACAAAAGTTTACAAACAAAACAATTAACTGAAACCAAAAGAACACAATGAAGAACATTACAAAAACAACAGATCTTTTAAAACAGTAAAACTCCTTTTTTGAGTCCTGATAAAAAATTTAGCCCGCCAACTGCTAAGATTTTATCAAGTGTACTAAACTTTGTAATTTTTCACTTAATATTTAAATGAGGACACCCACCTTCCCTGACATATAAATACAAATTCGTATTTAATATGCTCCATACTTCCACTTTAATTAACTCTACAGCCATTAAAAGCAAAACATACTCTTTAGGTAACACAACAAACTAGCAAACCTCAAAGAGTAAGGGTACAAATATTGTATACACTCTCCCTGTACAACACCCAAACTTGGACAGATTCCTCTTAAAGTCAAAGAGCAAGAAACATTATTACATTTACTCAACCTATGGTAAAATATTAATGAAACGCAAAGCATTTAATTCAAGTTTTACTGAGCCGTATTTGTTAGAAATACAGAATATAGAGTATTGATAAACTGTAAGAGTTTAAAAATTACATAATCCAATCCTTGGCGGTAGTTATATAAATACCCTTAAATACCATTAAAAAGGACCATCCCTTTATTCAATATATTAAGAAGTCCCTCAAGTGGTCTTTAAAAAGGCGTTTCACTGCAACAAAACAACTAGATATCAAATTTTAAAATTAAACTAACTCCAGGCACATTCCATTTATCCAGATCCTGAAATATATACCTCATTTCTATAAAACTATGACATCATCATGACATCATATTTAACCCTTATCCTGCAGGAACCAAAAGTGATTAGCCATTGTCACAAGTATAGAGCCAGGCCAGTTATACTGAAATTGCTTTTGTATTGTCAATGAAATCCCTTTAAATTTGAATGGACTGTTCCAAATTCAAAGCAGGGCAAGGCCATACATACATTCTGCAGAATAAGGGTAAATATATCTTTTTTAGTTTGGTTCAATTAAATAGTAAAATTTGGACCCCGACTTATAGTGGTGCCCGACTTATAGGCGAGTAAAAGAGTGTAATACAGTTTGAAACAAATCCTGTAAATTCTTATAAATTCTGTACAAGATATCAAAAAGCTATCCAGAAAACTTTGAAACACGGATTCCCCTGCTATATGTGTTAGGACACTGAGAAACAAGAGGGCCATGATGGCCCTAAGTCGCTCACCAGAAACAACTGCTTTTCAGTGTTGGAATGTCAATATATTCTAATATTAAATTTGAGCATAAAATATATTTAAACAATATTTTGAAGAAATGCCATGACCTAGGGCATTTAAGCTTTAGCTTAAACAGGGCTAATCAAATTAATATGAGCACTTGATAAAAGACTACCTAAGAATGCTACAAAGTTTAGTGATCATCTATCAATAATTTCAGTAGGAAATGATGTTCGAAGGTTTTTTCTATTTTTAGCTTTAGTGGCCTCTAAAAGCAAATTAATATAAGCAAACTTGATAAAAGAGTACCCAAGAATGCTACAGACAAAGTTTGGTGATCATCCATCAATTGGTTCTGAAGAAGAAGATGTTTAAAGGTTTTTCTATTTTTAGCTTTCCATCAATTGGTTCTGAAGTAGAAGATGTTTAAAGGTTTTTCTATTTTTAGCTTTAGCAGCCCCTAAAAGGGGCCAATCAAATTAATATGAGCAAACTTGATAAAAGACTACCCAAGAATGCTACAGACAAAGTTTGGTGATCATCCATCTATTAGTTCTGTAGAAGATGTTTAAAGGTTTTTCTATTTTTAGCTCTGCTGACCCCTAAAAGGGGCCAATTGGAATGACATAAGCAAATTCATGTGTGACTGTCACAAGGATGCTACAGACCAAATTTGAAGTAAATCTGCTAAGTAGTTTCAGAAAAGAAGACAATTGCTGACGCTTGACGACGGACGCCGGAGCATCCCCCTTTGACACTAAAAGCTCACCGTGAGCTAAAAAAACACACACTTTTTTCCAATAAAAGACCATTCATAAGTAAGAGGACTGATGGCTGTTGATAGAAACAGTTTTTTTAATATTCACACTGACTACTGACCTTTGACCTCTTAGTTTGACCTTGACTTTAGAGCTAGGGTTATAAGTCTTATACAAGACATGCTGACTCATCATGCTACACAATTCTTCCAAGTTAATTCAAAACCCATTGATGCATGACAGAGTAATAGGAAGGACAAGATTTCCTAACTGCTGACCTTTGACTTCTAAGTGTGATCTTGAAATTGAAGCTAGGGGTTGTGCATAACACACAGTCTTATCATGCTGCAAAATTGTGACAAGTTATTTCAAAATCCCTTCATGTAAGACACAGTTCCAGACAATAATTTCGAACACAAAACACTCAGGCTAGCACGGACAGGAGTAACACTATATGTCCCTTTGCCATTATCATGGTAGGGCATAAAAGGTATAATAATTTTGTTTAACAATGGTAGGGAATGTAATACAAATACTGCATCCCCATCTCTCTGGGCCACCTAAACTTAAATACTATGTAAGACAGAAAAGGTGTCCATATGCATATCCCGAGGTGGGGTGTTAGGGATATAACTACTCTGATTATTGGAAATCAATTTATGCTTTCTGAGTGAAAATTATGCAAAAACAGGTGAAAATCATGCAAAAATATGACTTGTGGTCCTCTCTGGATACCCAGTAAAATGCAAAACCCCCTCTGGCATATCCATTAACCCTTATTGAAATTTTGCAAACCCCTAGGTAACTTGGTGTCAATAATCAGATTGAGCCCTAAATATATTAAGCTTTACAAATAAAGAAATTCATACACTGATAATCAAGATATTAAAGAAGTAAACTAACCTTTGTAGGGATAACATATTTATTTAATGCTCCTATAATTAGGTTAGACGCCCATATTTGTATAATTTCCCCTAGCAATCGTGGAGTGAGCCCTCTGAAATGCAAAAACAATTATGTATAGTCAAGTATTTCATACAACAAATCCTAAAACATCATAACAGTCTATAAATCTATAAAGACATACAGTTCAGGAGAAAAAGCATCAAGACTGGAAATTGGGTATGTGTATTTGAGCCCTGGTCAAGACTCATAATAATCTGAAATGACTTGATTGACAACAACATCTTAAAGGACATTTATCCTTCATAATTTGTTCTAAATGATTCATGTTAAAAAGTAAATGATTTATATTACAAATCAAATGATTTATGTTACATAGGTTTTTTTTGTGTGTGCAATTTTATCAGATTCAGGTTGACTGTTACAATCCTCTCAATATAGATTTTACAGCAGCCTGATAAAATATGAGATTGGCCAGTAAATAAGGACTCTAACGTATAAAGCTAAAGTAGCTGAAGCCTATATAATATATCATAAAAGAAGATTTTATTTGGTTTTTACTATATACATATAAGGAAAATCAGTGACTCCCTGGGATGGGCAAATTTTGACCCAAGGGCTTTTATTTGAACAAACTTGGTTAAAACCCACTAGATGATGTTTCATGCTAAATATCTTAAGCTCTAGGTCTTTGGGGGTATTTTTTAAATAATAATTTTTTAAGTTTTTTCTTTCAGTTGTCATGGCAACAAGAGCTCTGCATGAAATTAAATTCTTTGAACAAAGGCAACCAACAAAGGAATATTTCTGTGAAGATTGGATGAAATTGGCTTAGCGGTTTATCAGAACATGTTGTTTAAAGTAAAATTTTATGGACTGATGACGGACTGACAAATTGCGATCACAAAAGTACACTATGTCACTTTGTGACACTGAGGTGAGCTAAAAAGGACAGGGAACTTACGCAAAGAAGCCTTTAATTCCATCTGAGTGATAAATTTCTCCAATAGCTGGAAAAAGGCCACTGAAATGGTAAAATACAGAAGATTATGATATGTTAAATCACATTACAAACAGGACCATACATACTACCATATTAATGGAAGTACTTGAGATAATAATATTCACACACTGTCATATATCTGTACATGATGAACTTTTACAATTTGAAACTAAAACAAGAACTGTTGGAGGACAGTAACGCTCGACTATTCGAAAAGTTGTCACAAGGGTGTTTCATTGAGTATAATAATGCTAACCTATTTGAATACATAAAATTGTCCGAAAACGAACAAACCCTTCAGTAGTTATGGAGATGCCAGCTTACAACCAAAAATTAACATTGAATTTCTAAGTCGAAAAAGGGGCATTATTATGCAAAAAAGTAAATCAGAGTTATGGGACTTGTGCAATTCATCTTAGATAATCACAGAAAACAAGTGTGTGAAGTTTTAATCCATTCCCTTCAGTAGTTATGGAGATACCAGCTTACACGCAAAAACTTAACCAAGAATTTCTAAGTCGAAAAAGGGACATAATTACATAAACAAGAGGGCCATGATGGCCCTGAGGTCGCTCACCTGTATATAGGCCCCTGGAGCAGGGCCAGTTTAAACCCCAGGGCTTTTATTTGAACAAACTCGGAAGACACCCATTAGAAGATGTTTCTTGATGTTAAGTTTTTACTACACACATATAATGAAAAACAATGACCTCTGTCCTCCCCCATCCCCATCCCCCGGCAGGGCCAATTTTTACCCAAGGGCTTTTATTTGAACAAACTTGGTAGACACCCATAAGAAGATGTTTCATGCAAAACATTTAAGCTTTAGCTCATTGGGTTTTTTAAAAAGAGGACTTTTTAAGTTTTTACTATACACATATAGTTCAAAACAATGACAACCCTGGGGCAGGGCCAGTTTTGACCCCAGGAATTTTATTTGAACAAACTTTGTAGACACTTACCAGAAGATGTTTCATGCTTAATATCTAAACTCTAGCTATTTGGGATTTTTCAAAGAAGATTTTTATGTTTTTGCTATACACATATAAGGAAAATCAATGACCCCCGGGGCGGGGCCAATTTTGACCCCAGGGCTTTTATTTGAACAAACTTGGTAGACACCCATTAGAACATGTTTCATGCTAAATATCTTAGCTCTAGCTCTTTGAGTTCTTTAAAAGAACATTTTTTAAGTTTTTACTACATGCATATAGGGAAAATCAATGACCCCCTGGGACGGGGCCAATTTTGACCCCAGGGCTTTTATTTGAACAAACTTGGTAGACACTCACTAGAAGATGTTTCATGCTAATCATCTTAGCTCTAGCTCTTTGGGTTCTTTAAAAGAAGATTTTTTAAGTTTTTACTATATGCAAATAGGGAAAACCAATGACCCCCTGGGGCGGGGCCAATTTTGACCCCAGGGCTTTTATTTGTACAAACTTAATAGACACTCACTAGAAGATGTTTCATGTCAAATATCTAAGCTACAGCTCTTTCGGATTTTTAAAAGAAGATATTTAAAGTTTTTTCTTTTGGTTGCCATGGCAACGAGAGTTCTGCATGGAATTAAATTCTTTGAACAATTTTTAAAGGTGACCACCAAAGGAACATTCCTGTGAAGTTTGGATGAAATTGGCTTAGTGGTTTATGAGGAGATGTCATTTAAAGTAAAAGTTTACGGATGGACGACGGACGGACGGACAATGGACGGACGACGGACGGACGCCGGACGGACACCAGACGAAAAGCGATCACAAAAGCTCACCCTGTCACTTTGTGACAGGTGAGCTAAAAAGCAAATCAGAGTTAAGAAACTTGTGCCAATCATCTTAGATAATCACAGACAACAAGAGTGTGAAGTTTCAATCCATTCCCTTCAGTAGTTATGGAGATACTAGCTTACATGCAAAAGCTTAACCAAGAATTTCTAAGTCGAAAAAGGGGCCTAATTATGTAAAAAAGCAAATCAGAGTTATGGGACTTGTGCCAATCATCTTAGATAATCACAGAGAACAAGTTTGTGAAGTTTCAATCCACCTTTCAGTAGTTATGGAGATACCAGCTTACACGCAAAAACTTAACCACAGGGACGCCGACGCCGACAAATGGGTGACTGCATTAGCTCAATTATTCTGCGAATAGTCGAGCTAAATATGGGGATTGAAGCCTTGATTTCAAAGCCAACATTGTTCCAATTATTGAGGTAAGTAGGCAAACATAGAAGCAACAACACTTCAGTCATGTCAGAATGAAATGAGGTATGAAAACATCAAGCTTATAATGACTTGGACAAGGAAACATAACAACAGAGAAATTATCATGGCCTGAAAATAAAACTAGGAGACTCGCCTAGTTAGAGTTTGACGTAAGAGTCCAAAAATGTACTATGACAACAACATTTGGACTTGTAATCTGAAATGTGTCTCAAATTGATCACACAAGATAATATATCTATGTCTGTTAATTAATAACAAATTTACATACCAGTATATTTTTTCTCCTCCAACAAATTGAGCAATCTGCCTGACCATAATCACTGTAATTATAGAATAATTAACTGTAAAGTATAATGTAAAACCTAAAACTAGATCATTTTTAACTAATAATTACTCATTGGTAATTACTCCATAAAAAGTTTAAAGAATTTTATGTGCAAGGACTTTTGTGTCATAGTCGAAGTAATAGTTTTGTGATCGGTGCTAAAATAATTATGTTTAAATTATTACAATTATGCCAATTTAAACATGTTTTTGGTAATATCTCAGCAGTGGCCGATCCAGCCTAACTGTCTTCCCTGGATAACTAACCAGAAATTACCAATTTCTCTGCAAATGGTCGGCAACTAATTCCACAGGATTTCTGAATCATCCATGAGAGACAAATGACCATAAGACTCAATGTGAGTGATCAATTGTCCCAGAGAAAATACGCCTCGCCCAAGGATTGGACAAGCAACACCTGAAAACAAAGCCTATGCTCTCCCTGCTGAGTTTAACCAGGGACCAAAAACTATCCAAACATATAAAAAAAACTAAAAATCAACAAAGGGCCATAATTCTGTTAAATTTGGTCGCAGCAAAAATTCCTTCCTTTACTACAATCTACACATTAAGGTTGTTAATCCCTGGAAGTTTAAGCAAAATCTGCCATCCGGTTTAAGAGAAGTTGTGTTCACAAAATTTCTACATAGTATATAGTGAAAAAATCAACAAAGGGCCATAATTCTGTTAAATTTGGTCGCAGCAAAAATTCCTTCCTTTACTACCATCTACACATTAAGGTTGTTCATCCCTGTAAGTTTAAGCAAAATCTGCCATCCGGTTTAAGAGGAGTTGCGTTCACAAAATTTCTACATAGTATATAGTGAAAAAATCAACAAAGGGCCATAATTCTGTTAAATTTGGTCGCAGCAAAAATTCCTTCCTTTACTACCATCTACACATTAAGGTTGTTCATCCCTGTAAGTTTAAGCAAAATCTGCCATCCGGTTTAAGAGGAGTTGCGTTCACAAAATTTCTACATAGTATCTAGGAAAAAAATCAACAAAGGGCCATAATTCTGTTAAATTTGGTCACAGCAAATATTCCTTCCTTTACTACCATCTACACATTAAGGTTGTTCATCCCTGTAAGTTTAAGCAAAATCTGCCATCCCGTTTTAGAGGAGTTGCGTTCACAAGATTTCGGGACGTACAGACGGACGGACTGACGTATTGACGGACGGACAAGTGCAACGCTATATGCTCCCACATTGTGGGGGCATAATGACCTTATATATGACCTTATATCTCATTAGGAAATGAAGTGTCCCAGAAGTCAGATATATGAGTGAGTATGAGTGAGTATCAAATGTCTTATATGCTTACCATGGAAAGGTTGGCTTGAAATAACTGCAGCACATTTTGCCACTGTTTCTTGTCCAGTCTGTAACAAATAAACACAACTTTAGAAAACAAAATTATACAAATAACATGAAATTAACAGTATCTAACCATTTCTAGTCAGAATAGGCAATTAAATCTGATCAGATGAAGTTATTAACCTTTCACCTTCTAAATTTCAATTTCAACCCATTTTTGGAACTGTTCCATAACCAATTTGGCAACTTTCCAGCTTTATTTTAACAGCAGACAAAAGCATGAGTGCCTTATATCTATATATATAATCATCTATACATATCATATAACACATTATTCCACAACCTTTGATTTTCTGTTAGCATGTTAAATGGAACAAGTGGCAACACATTGTCTCATTAATTTGGCCATACCTGGCAAGGAGGGGGGTGCTTCTTGGGGTAGTCTTTGTTTTTACAAACTTTGTGAAGCATTCACAAAAGTAATATTATATCAAACACATTTATTTATTAACTATTTTTATCTAACAAAGGTAAAACAATTTGAAAATCTCAAGCCATTCCAACATGTCTGAAGTATAATATTTCATATCAGTTAAATCATAAATCAACAAAACATTTTGTGGGATCACATTATTGGGAAACCATTGAAATTACACCTAGTTGATTGCAAAGACCAAAATATTTATGGCTTTATTATTTGCTTGGACTAGCTAAATCTGGAAAATAAAGATTCAATAAGACAAACTGGAAATTTTACAGAAGTAGCAGATGTATGGTAATAAAGGTTATTCAAGGTAATCAAAGTAAGACATCTATAAAGTTAACATTCAAAGAGCAAACACTGAATGTAACAAAATTTAAGAAATTCTATAAACAGAAATGGCAACTGCAGCTGGTTACACTGATGAAATCATTGATGACCAAAATGAATTGGCTGTTGATGAAGACAGCACAGGTGAGGACATTAATGCTGAAAGTGATTCACTCACACAAGAATCAGATGAGGTACTTGAAATGTTTTGTGAGCACTGTGAAAAGGAAATAGGAGAAACAGTAAAAGCTGATGGATTCTGTGCAGACTGTTTGGAATATTTGTGTGGAACTTGTCTGAGATATCATCAGAAATATAAATCTGACCATTCCATACAAGACAGTGCTAATATGCCACAGGACTTCTGTTTCCAGAAATGCCAAGATCATCCAAAAGAGTTGATTAAATTTTATTGTATGACTTGCCAGCAAAAGGCATGTTCTGTTTGTAAAAATATCCACCAAAATGAATGTACAATTGAACATATTCCAAGTCTTGTTAAATCAGTTGATTTAAGATGTAAAAAGAATGAAGTAATAAAAGCAATTGAAAATGACATAGATGTACTTAGTAAATCTAAAGATGATGTCATCTCAAAATTATCAGATGTTCAGTCAATCAGCCAGAATGCAAAAGTTTCAGTTAGAGAGCATACGAAATCACTGAAAAAAGACACAGAAGACCTGTATCTAGACAATATCCATGAGCTTCAGCAGAAACAAGAAAGTGAAATAGAGCACTATGAAAAGAAGAGGGCTGACATACTTGCAAAGTTGGACAAAGAAAAAGAAGATCTTATGAACAATCATCAAGTCCAAACCAAAATGCTTCAGGACAACAAAATGATAACCTTTGATCAGATAGAAAGGAAAGAAGAAGAATTAGATAAACAATCTGAGTCAATAAAACTGAGAAATGAGACAAGATTGAAGACACTGTCCTCCAAATCTGATAAAATAGAAGCAGATTTAGAAATCCTTAAGCAAAACCTTTTGAAGAAGCTGCTTAAAAATCAGAAATGTGAAGTATTCTTAGCAATAAAAGAAGCTGGAAAACTTTTAGAAAAAATAAAAATTGATGTTGAAGAAGCAAGTCAACCTGTTGCAATAAGCAACTATGAATTTCAGCCTGATGGTCTAAAGATAAGCAAGCTTGATGTCAATACTACCATTGGTTTTGGCTCTTTCAAGGAGAAAACAAAAATCAGGACAAAAATCAGTTTTCAAAAGATGTTTCCTCACAGCATCCTTTAGATAAATGGTGTAGCAATATAACTGGACTCTGCAAAATCTCTGACACTCATTTAATTGCAGCAGATAACACAAACAAGTCCCTCAAATTAATAGATATTGAAAGAAATTTGATTTCAGTAGTTAACTTGAAAGATGAACCTTTTGATGTTGCCCTGTTAGAGAACAATATGGCAGCTACAACAATGCCAAATGCCAGAAAAATCCAATTGTTATCAATAACACAAGATAACCAGCTGTCTCTAAGTTCACAAATCTCTGTACCTGGTAACTGCTACGGAATTGCATCCAGGAAATCAAACTTAGTTGTGGGATGTACAGAAAACATTCATGTGATTGGATTAAATGGAAGTGTAGTTAACACCATCCCAATTAAAGCTAACCCCTCAAATCACATTCAACTACATCCAAATGGAAATATTTTATACACTCTTGAAAACCTTGCAAATTATGGAAACGTAGTCATAACAAAACTAATGATCGCTAATAAAAATATTAAAAGAAAGAGGTGTAAGTGTTCACAACCTGTCACAGGTTTAGCAGTTGACAAATCAGGAACAATTTATACATGTACAGCTGATGGACTCTCTCTTTTCCAAATATCTGCCGATTTTTCATACCTTACCCATCAGGTACTGCAGAAACAAACTGAGACGCCAATGAGTTTGTTTTATTGTAATAAAGAAAATAAACTTTATGTTGGTACTGGATCAGGAATAGTCCGGATTTTCAATGTAGAATGAATCATTTGGAGTACAAGTAGATTGCTTGACAAATACATGTAGTATGAATCAAATGATAAATTCATAATAGTTGTTAAAAACATTTTTGAACTTTTCTAATAAGCTCAACATGTTAACAATGTCAAAACAATTTTGTACAGAATCAAGTGTTTTATTGTTTTCACCTGTTTCTTGGAACTTGGCATCATTATAAACCAAATATGTAAATGATTTAACAATAGTTTATAAGACAATAAAAAGATTTCATTATTTTGGATTTGCCACTAGTGTATTACCGTATGTCGGTTACCTAGCTAGCATATTCGTATCTTACACCAGAAGTGAACAAAGGTCACTTTTACACTTTCTCCTTTGTGGCCTTCGTTGACAAGATTTTCAGGACTTTTAAAATGTATAAACAATTGCCATCTATCTTCAATTTCTGTCAAACCAATCTTGAAAATATGAAGAAGTACATTTGTAATTCATTTATAAGATTGACACCTAAAGTGATCTTTTGTTTTTTATTTTGATAGTACAAGAAATGTGAGGAATGTACCTTGAAAATTATTATAATATTTTTGATTCAAGGGTCTTCTTAGTTACTTAAATCTTAAATCAGCCCTTCTAATGGGTTTGCAAATTCCTCAGAATAAATTTCTGCAAACATATTGGTAATTAAATGTCATAAGCTGCAAAAAATTATATAGAATCTAGGCATGTATATTGTGTTGTAAAGTTTGATTCCACTTACAACAGCTTACATTATCATTCCATAATGTTGCATAATATTACTCAACAAGAGCTGTCGGTAGGACAGCAACGCTCGACTATTCTTAGTGCTTGATAGTAAAAAAAAATGCTTGATACAGTTACCTCCTCCTGTTTACAGGTTGGGGTAATGATGGTGAACAAGTGTGCAAAGTTTCAAAGCCATATGTCAATGAACTTTGAAAATATTTGAAGTATTACAAAAACTTTAACATAAATTCTAAGTCGAAAAAGGGGCATAATTAGGGTTGGACACCGGTTCCCGGTATCGGTCCTATACCGAATAGTAACTTCGTAAATTACCGGTATATACCGTTTCGTAAAATACCGGTACTGGATTTGATACTTTTGTAATTTTGTAAAAAAAAAAATAATTTAATAGTCAATATGTCAAAAAAATAAGAAGATTTTTAAATAAAAACAGCCTACAAACACGTAAAACAAACTATGAATTACTATTATCATGCGGCGAGTACGGCTTTCGCGGCAAACTTGAAGTTTGTGACGCGGCGATTTTTTTGTAAAAGTATTGTGCCGCTTATGTTCAAGATAATAATATTTTTGTACTCGGCAGGAAAATATAATTATTTGAACTGATTTTGCTAAAAGTTTGTAAGTTTTAAATGTCAAAGAAACAATGAGAAAACAAATCAAATACTTGAGTAATCATCGGCACATCGCACACAGTCCTTCCAAACACATCGCACACAGCTTTTGCCGTAATGACAATGTAAATCCAACATATGACAATTGTTTATTCAAACAATGCTTTTAGAAAATAATTAAATCCTTTTTTCAGTTTAAGTCTCTAAACACTCATAATGAATACATATTTAATGTTTCTAGGTTCTTTTCATCCATTACCACATGCTGGGATGTATCGTATGTTCCAGCCACATGTACAAATCCACTTGTGAATTACGATTTTAACATAAATGAGGCCGAAATATTCCAACAAAAATATGCCTCCTTTTGTTTTTGGTGTAACACTGAACTATTATTTAACATGTATACATTTTCTTAACAAAAGAATGCTGACAGAACTTCAATAAAAAAGTGTGAATGTCGGCGGCTCTTTGATGGTGAAAGAGTAACAACATCAAAGGGAGGCATATTCTTTTGAATAGCCTATTATGCACCTGTCAAAGGTCAACTTGTGTGTATTACACATTTAGATCTGTGATACTTTAAACAACTGAAACATATTTCATATAGTGTTTTGTAGGATTTTTTGCAAATGTTGGCTAGTATTTTTGCGTATTTGAGCAGTATGGAATTATGCAATTTGGTAAGGACAATACTTTTTTTCTGTAGCAAGATGTTCATGGTGCATGCTATTGAAAAATAAAAGATGTATAAAATTGAAGGGTAAATTCAATATTAATAAATACCAAATCCTTATTATTTGTAAAACATAGGTATTTGCTTTATGACTTCTACAAGGACTTATATTAGGTTAACATGAAAATGTAAACAAGTCATTTTGGAAACAGTCTGTGCTGACTGTGCAT